TAGGGACAAAATGAACCATCTTTAATAGAGCCTGGTCCACACCTGTTCTCCCTCATGCACTACTTGCCAGCAACATCGACTTTCTTCCAATTCCACAAACATGCAGCTCTCTATACTGCCACAGGGCCTTTGCACATGCCGATCCCACTGTTGAAATGCTCTCGCCTCTAGCTGCTCACTCAGGTTCAGGTCATAACTGTTATTTCTGTGGCTTCCCTGTCTAATCCAGATTTGCTCTGGGTTGTTACAGTGCTTTTTCTTCATAGCACATCACGGTCGTGACTATAGTTTTGTGTTCTCCAATGCAGGTGCATCAGAAGAAAGCTCTTGACTAGCAAATGCCTGTACTGATTCTTCAATTAGGTTCTTGGCTTAGAGGGAAAAAAGAGGTCCATCCTCTCATTTCAAGGTCTGAAGCTCATGCAGAAGTGAAAAGGCTGGAAACAGTTGGTTTTGCTCCTTCCAGCATCCATAATGAAGCATGTGCAGAGCCCCTCCTACCTCGAACCCCTGACCAGTTCAGGTGTGTCCTGTTCACCTTTCATTCTGTGGTATCAAAAAAAAACATGTATTTGCCCTTTTCCATGTTTGTGGGCTAAGAGCTCCTAAATCCCTTGGCATCTCTTGAGTGATAGGAATGTCTTCCCTTATTCATAAGTACCCCTTTGACCACACCTGAATTCATGCTAATGAAGAGACTCATGACGGGGCCCCTGGAGAGCTACAGGGTGAGGGCTGGTCCCCAGAAAGGCCACGCACCTGATTAGCGAATGGAACTTTCAGCCCCACCCCTGGACTTTGGAGGAGGGAAGAGGCCCTGGAGACAGAGTTCAATCGCCAATGTCCTAGGCAACCAGATCTTGACAAAAACCCCTAAATAACAGTGTTTGGGGGGGATCTTCCACGTTGGTGAACACACCCACATGCCAGGAGGGCGGTACGCTCCAATTTCACAGCAACAGAGGCTCCTACACTTGGCATCCCCAGACCTCACCCCCTGTACCTCTTCATCTGGCTGTTCACCTGTATCTTTTATAACAGACTATGAGTAAGGAGAGCGCCTTCCTGAGTTATATGAGTCAAGATGACACAGGGAAATGGGGTGTGAGAGGATGATGTCCCAGGTCTCAGACGAGTCCCTGGGACGTGCGTGCCCCGCCAAGTGCAGGTCCTTGGCTTTGCTCAGGAAAGAATTTAAGAGTGAACCATAGTATAGGGAAGGTAGATTTACTCAGAGAGATGCACACTCCATAGGCAGAGTGCGGACCATCTCAAAAGGCCAGAGAAGCCACAAGGCCTAGGGGTGTTTAAAGGAAAAGTCAGTGCACACTCCAGAGACAGAATGCAGGATGCCTCTGAAGGCAAGAGAGAGTGACCACGAGGCGCAGGGCTGTTGGTTTTTATGGGCTCGATAACTTCATAGGCTAACACGTGAGAGACTATTCCAACCACTTTGGGAAAGAGGCTGGGATTCCCAGGAACTGGGCCATCACCCACTTTTTGACCTTTTATGTTCAGCCTTGGAACTCCTCGCGCCTGTGGGAGCACCATTCAGCAGCTACTGTATTTCAATGAGCGTATATTGAAGTTCAAGTTCTACTTGGAGTTGAATCTTCCACCATCTTGGTGCTAATTGCTGTCTCATTCTTTTAATGGTTCTGCCCTGCCCGCTTCCCTCCTGTCTCAGTTCCAGCAAATTATTAAAACTGAGGTGGGGGAGGGGGTCACAGGAACCCCAGAATTCGTAATCCGCCAGGCAGCAGTGTGGGTAACTTGGGCACCCCATTTGTGGCTGGAGTCTGAAGTGGGGCCATTAACCCCTGGGGTCTGTGCTAACTCTGGGTGGATAGTGTCAGAACTGTTATGAGTTCTGGGATTCCCAGTTGGAGTCAGAGAATCACACTGGTGTTGGAACAACGTACTTGGTTGGTGTTAGGAAAGACATCACATAGCGTGCCTATTTGGGACTCATTTTCTTGCCACTGAGAGAAGCGTGAGAGCACAGGGGCTGGACGTTCTTAAACACCGTGGACGCAGAGTGAAGTCTAAGTGCTGGGTTTGTCCCTACGTAGGTAACTATGGGCAAATCACACAGCCTCACTCGGGCTCAGCTCCCCCATCAGTAAACTGGGAAGAATAAGAATAATACTGATTTCAAAAATAGATAAACAACAAGGATGTACTGTCTCACACAGGGAACTATATTCAACTTTTTGTAGTAACCTATAACGAAAAAATCTGAAAAAAATACATATGTATGTATATGTACAACTGAATCATCTTGCTGTACACCTGAAACTAATATTGTAAATCAACTACACTTCAATAAAAAATTAAATTTAAAACAATACTGACTTCACAGAGGCGTTTTGAGAGTTGAGAGTCAGTCCGTCTACAGTGGGCGCACAGTAAACCATCAAAGTAGGTTGCTGTTACCAACATTGCTCTCATTGCTTCCAGTTTAGTCCTTCCTTGTTTAAGTTTGGCAGAGTGGGTTTCTTCTGCTTAAAGCTAGAAACACTGGGGATACTTCTGCCTTTTTTCTTTGAGCAGAGGAAGTCTGTTTAGCAAGGAGATTCCTGGGGGAGGCGGCTTTCTTCAGACAGAGGAGGGTCCCACAGAGGAGATAAAGGGATCCGGAAAGGAGGGAGCCCCAGCCACGCTGTGGATCCACAAAGAGAGGAGAGACCCCGTCCATCCTCTCCTGGACCAGGAAGCGCACTGTCCAGGCAAGTTCCTGGGCTCCGGAGGAAATGCTGCCACACGGCAGTGCCCACTGGAATCGCTGGGGCAGCTGCAAAGCATTCTGGTGCCCGAGTCCAGCCCCAGAGACCTGACTTCACTAGCCTGGGAGGATGCCCAGGGCAGAAGGATTTTTTTTTTTTTAATCCCATCATTCGAAGGTGCTGGCAAGGTTGAGAACCTCCATCTAGCTGGAGAGAGGCAAAGGGTCACCCCTCCGGTATTCACCACCTCTTTAGAACAAGGCCCCTGAACGTTGACATGCCTGTAAATCACTGTGTCAAATACAGATTCCGATTCAGTGGGTCCTGGGTGGGGCCTGGGACGCTGCATTTCTCACAAGCTCCCATGGGGGGCCGATGTTGCTGGCCCACGGACCAGGCTTTGGGGAGCAAGAGCCTAGGTGATGCTGTGGGAGCTCCAGGGCACCCTGGCACCAATGCCTGGTAGCGCAGGCCCCTCACCCATCACCCTCAAGGGGGCTGGGCCCCAGTGCAGGACGCCCGCCCAGCATCCGGGCCTTCCCACACCCGCAAGGCACCACTTCTGCCCGCCTGGATAGCGGAAGGTATTACCAGGGGCGCAGAGGGAAGCGGGCTGTCACTCAGACCACCGTGATGCTCCCCCAGCCTCAAAGCCGGTCAGTCTGAGGTCCCCAATCCCAGTTGTTCTCAGTCACCCTTTTCTATCCAGAGCCCAACCCCCGTGCACGGAGCCTCCTCTAAAATAAACTCGCTGAGCCACCCCCCACCCACTTCCTTTGCACCTGAGGCCATTACTACTTGTCAGAAACAAGAACTGGCAGCTGTGAGTAGCATTCAGCTCTGTTCTTAAAATGCCTTCTAATCCTTTCTCTCCAAGAACTCACCAGCCCTGCGATGGTTCTGCCCGGCCAATCACAGAGTGGTCCCCGGCCCCTGTTTTGATAAGGTCATCTGTCACTGTCAGTCAGAGAGAGGCAAGGCTCTTGCCGCAGGGAGGGGAAGCGGGGCAGGAAAGTTCAGCTGACTGCTGAGTTTCCCAGGGGCCGGGACGGTCCCCGGACTGGCCTGGACACGTGTCAACAGACAGAATGAAACCCGCTGCTTCTCAGACACCTGCAGGCCCTGCCCCGGCCCAGCTTCACACACGCCCATTCCCTGTATGTCTCTCAAGCGCCATTCAGAGAGAACAAAGACATCTTCTTGGACTGAAAGTTGAAGCCAGGAGGAAAAAGTTTGGGGGCATCTGGAGGAGCAAGGAGGCCATCTGTGGCAGCCAGCCTTGAAGATGGCCCCCGAGGGTCCTGGCTCCTGGTACTGACACCCCTGTGTGATGTCTCCCCTGTCCCCACGGTACCGGCACTGGCCTGAGCAGTAAATAAACACAGGTGACCTCTCACCCTCCCTCTTGAATCAGTCACTCTGAGGGAAGCCAGCTCACCCACGTTGTGAGGACATCAGGCAACCAGTGGAGAGAGGCTGGGGGAGGGGGGAAATGTGGCCTCCAGCAGCCACGTGAGTGAACATGGAAGCAGATTCCACCCCAGTGGGACAATAGCTTAAGTGCCACCTCGTCAGAGGCCCTGAGCCAGAGTCGCCCAGCTAATCTGCTCCTGCATTCTCAACACACAGAAGCTGCGAGATAATTAATGTTTGTTGCTTTAAGCTGCTAAATTTGGGGCGATCTGTTACACAGCAGCAGATAACTAATACATGATCCACCCCAAACTAAACTACAAATATAGCGTGGGCTCCTTCTACAGTAAGATGTGATACCAGTCATTACAAGAGACACAGAGATGGTGATGATAGTAATACTAATGCTAGTAGCAGTAATAATAGCAGCTGATCTTTATGTAAGCCTTACTTGGAGCCAAGCACTGTTCTAAGCACTTTGCATGCATTTGCATGCATCAACTCACCTAATCCCATAGCCACCTATTGCTACATTATCATTATCCCCGCCCACGTGCACCAGCCAGAACCCACCAGGAACGTGCCTGTAGTGAAACAAAGTTGGGGTTGGGGACGTGTTGCAACCAGGGAGACCGCACACCAGGGGAAACTGTGGTGTGTCTCAGTTAGAAGGTGTGAAGAGGGGCTTGTAATAGGTTTTGGGTTTGCTCTGGATGGTGCATCTTAACCATTTTTATCTAGGAAGCAGGAGGAACAGAGTGGAGCTAAAGATGTCGTTGGAAATTAGCAGCACCCATTTTTGTTAGCAGGAAAGATAAGACATTTGGTCATTTCTGTGGTTTGCACAGTATTCTTACTTACGCACTCAGACGTGATCACAGAATGCTCTTATTTCTGTCTTGTTTCATCACAGTCAGCGTGAAGTCTTCCCATATACAGCTGTCCAGTGAAGTCGCTCTGGGTGGGGGTACCATGGCCAAGCTGCTAGCACCAGGCCAGCTACAGCTGATGCAGTCAGCACTGCATTCTCCCTTTCTCGTCCCCATTTTACAGATGGAAAATCTGAGGCCAAAATGAACAAAAGAGTTACATTGTCATGGTTGTAAGGGACTTTTTAGAGCAGAGCTTCTCAAATTCTCTGCAGTTTCGGACCAGTTTTGGCCTTTCTCTTTTGTTTTCCAATGCATTGTGTGTCACTACTTTTATATCATACAATATAAATAAATTACTAGAATAATGATCATGCACTTGGATGTTGCACCAATGTCAAACTGCTAGAAAAGTTTCTAAATATTTATTCTCAGTGTCTGTATCAGCTAGCCACTGACAGGTAGCAAACTGTTCTCAGGCCAATACTGTCTGAGCACAAATGAACTTATTTAGGAAACAGAAACAGACTCACAGACATAGAAGACAAATTTATGGTTCTGGGGGGCAAGGGGTAGGGAGGGATAAATTTGGAGTTTGGGATTGGCAGATACAAACTATTACATATAAAACTGATACACAACAAGGTCTTATTGAATAGCACAGGGGATTATATTTCATTATCTTTTAATAAACCATAATGGAAAAGAATATGAAAAAGAATATATATATATGTATAACTGAATCACTTTGCTGTACATCATAAATTAACATAACATTGTAAATCAACTATACTTCAATTTAAAAAAAAAAAATATATATATATATATATAGTCTGCAGCCTACACTTTGAACAGCTTTACAAGTTGTCTGATTAAGCGTGTCCCAAACTTAATGCATTGGTTCATTGTTGCCATATCTGTGTAGTATCTCTCCTATAAGTTACTTAATGTTATCTTTAAATATCCTTGTCCTCTATCACCTCACAGCCATTAGGATGGCCACCATCAAAAAAAAAACAGAGAATAATGTGTCAGCAAGGATGCAGAAAAAAATGGTAATCTTGTGCACTGTTGGTAGGAATGTAAAACAGTGAAGGCATTATGGAAAACAGTATGAAAATTCCTCAAAAACTAAAAATAGCATTATCATGTGATCCAACAATCCCACTTCTAGGTATATACTCAAAAGAATGCAAAGCAGGTTCTCAAAGAGCTATCTGTGCACGTATGTTCATTGCAGCAATAACTAAGAGGTGGAAGCAACTCAAATGTCCATCAGCAGATGAAGGCATAAACAGAATGTAGTATACACACACACACACCACACATATATATATATACATACATACATACATACATACATACATACATACATACATACACACAGAGGAATATTATGCAGCCCTAAAAAAGAAATCAGTCTTGTCACATGCTATGATACAGATGAACCTCAAGGACTTTATGCAAAATGAAATAAGCTAGTCACAGAAGGACAAACACTGTTGTGAGGATTAAATGAGAAGATATAAATAAAATATTTAATCCAATGCCTGGCATGGAGCAAGCACTTTCTAGATTTTATCTGTTACTGCAACTGCTACAGCTGCCTCTGCCTTCTGACCTTGGGAAAGCCACTTAATTCCCCCAGCCCATAGCATCCCCCTTCCTAAGAAGGAATAACTATGTTCTATGTCCACAGAAAGTTTGATGCCTCCCACCCTTATTTCCTTCAGTTTCCTTCTCATATATCCCCTTTTCAAGGCAACCTTCCCTGACTAGCCCCTTTCACATATAAAATGCACACTCTCTTTCCATCCTGTTAGTCAACTTTATTTTTCACCTTAGTACCTATCCACTCAATTTATATTTACTTGTTCAATGCCTGTCTTCCTGATCAGAAGATTAAGTCCAGGGGAATTGGGGGCTTTGTCTGTGGTGTTCACTGCCTATCCCCAAGACCCAGATCACATAAAAAGCACTCAGTGAATATTTCTTGAAAAATGAATGAACGCATGAATTACTGAAATTCAGTAGCTCCTGACCATAGCTGGCCAGCCCCGAGTTGCTGCTCAGTAGCTTTTGGTTTCCTTCCTTCCTTCCAAGGCCAGAAAAATGAATGGCTCTAGATGCCCTTTTGCGGGAAGGGGAGGGAGTGAGAGAGGAATGCCCACAGATTGGCTTCCCTCCCCCTTCTCCTCCAAATATCATTCAGAAAAACCAAAACAAGAACAGGCTGCAGGTGCCAAGAAGTTTGGTACATCTCTCATCCCCAGTAAAGCCTCCCTAGTTGCAAAATGTTCGCAGAAGCAAGTTCCCTGGAGCTCACTGCTTGTAGAGAAGAATCTGGGCAGAATTTAGACAGCTACTCTATCGCCCGTAACCCCAATGAACGATGTCTGGTCAACCTAATGTGCAGCCTCTGAGGGTTAGGTTGTGCTGCTCTTGGGGGTCCCAGAAGCAGGAAGTCAATGTGTTTGATCTCTGGCCCTATTTATAGCACCTGAAACGGAACATCTGTTACCGGGTTGGCTGCTGTCAAATTCGCCTTCAAATAACAGTGCAAGCCATCGCTGAGTCTTGAAGACCGCTTTACACAACGAGTGGTCAACTAGCAGAATCATCTCTTCCAATAGCAACCAGCTGAGATGATCACATCATTCTGCTGAAAACCCTCCACTGGCTTCCCGTCACACCAGGAATAAGGTCCCCACGACCTGCCCAGGACTGCACCAGGTGCAGCACGGTCTGGCTGCACTTGTCTCTCCAACATCATCTCAGGCCATCCTCCTCCTCACTCAACTCCACTCCAGCCATGCTCACCATCTCTATGTTCCTACAAGAAGACAAACGTGTTGTCCCACAGGGTCTTGGCACTTTTCGCCTCTTCTGTCTGCCTGCACTGGCTCCTTCTCCTCATTCAGATCTTAGCCCCTGACGAGCCCTTCTAAAGGCACCACGCAGCCACCCTCCATCACATCAGCCCTTTTTCAGGGCATCATAGCACTTGGGCACCTGAGCGATCTGCAGTCATCGTGTTGGCTTATTTATGTGCTGACTTCCTCCCCTCCCCGCCTTCCACTTGACCATAAGGTCCCTGCATGAAACAACTCTTCCTGCCTGTCTCACAGCTGTGCATCCCAGGAAGAGTCCCTGGCACATAGTAGGTGCTCAGTAAATATTTGTTAAAGGAATAGACGTGTTAGGAGTGTCATTGAAGCCAGGAGCCGGCAGACTCTTTCTGTAAAGATCCAGATGGTGAATATTTGAGGCTTCACATGCCATATGGCTCGGTCACAACCATTCAATTCTGCCCTTGCAGCACAAAAGAGCCAGTGACAATATGTAAATAAATGGGCGTGGCATTATTCCAACAAAACGTCATTTAAAAAATCAGGCAGTGGGGGAGATTTGGCCTGTGGGCCATAGTTTGCAAACTTCTCTCCTAGATCAGGACTCTGAATTCAAGTAGACTATCCACACAGTTACTTGGCACGGTTCCTTACCCATATGCTACCACATCCACTGTGTGTTGTATAAACACTGAATAAACCACTCTGCATTGTGTTCAATCCTCTATCTATAAACAGGCTTCACTCAAGTAAACAAATCTTAAATGGCTACAGTGTATGAGACTTCCTGACTTCGTCAGGGCTTCCTGAGATACAGCACTGCACAGGACAGACCCAGGTCTTATAGTGTGTGGTCAAGGGGCCACACATGTGAGACGATGACAGGAGAATATGATGACAGCACAAAGTGCATCAAGAAGGGGTTATCTGGCCAAGTAAAAACGGACAGAGAACCTAAATAAATATTTACCCAAAGAAGATACAAATGACCAGCAGATACACAAAAAAAAATGCACATCACTAATCATCAGGGAAATGTTAATCAAAACCACAATAAGATATCACCTCATACCTGTCAGAATGGTCAGACTGTCCATCATCAAAATGATCACAAATAACAAACGTTGGTTAGGATGTGGAGAAAAGGGGACCCTCATGCTGTGCTGGTGGGAATGTAACCTGGTGCAACCACTGTGGAAAACAGTATGGAGACTCCTCAAAAAAACTAAAACTAGGGCTATCATATGAACCAGCAATTCCACTCGTGGGTATTTATCTGAAGAAAACAAAAATGCTGATTCAACAAGATGTATGCACCCCAATGTTCATTCCAGCACTGTTCACAATAGCCAGGATATGGAGGCCACTTAAGAGCCCATCAACAGATGAATGGATAAAGAAGATGTGATATATGAATACACATGGAATATTACTTAGCCATAAAAAAGAATGAAATCTTGCCATTTGTGGCTACATGAATAGACCTGGAGGATATCATGCTAAGTGAAATAAGTCAGACAGAGAAAGACAAATACTGTACAATTTCACTCACATGTGGACTCTGAATAACAAAACAGACAAACAAACAAAACAGAAACAGACTCATAGATACAGAGAACAAACTGTGGTTGCCAGAGGGAAGGGGCTGGGGGACAGGTGAAATAGGCTAAGGGGATTAAGAGGTACAAACCAGTATGCATAAAATAAGCAACAAGGATGTTTTGTACAACACAGGGACTATCAAAATGTCTCCCAGATTTGGGAAGTTCTTAGGCATTATTTTTTAAATAGACTTTCTGCCGCCTTCTCCCTCCCTTCTCCTTCTGGGACTCCAATAATTCACAGATTGCTTCTTTGAGGGGATCCATAGATCAGTAGGCTTTCTTCACTCCTTTTCATTCTTTTTTTTTTCCCCCAAAGTTCCTATCTTCTAATTCACAGATGCTTTCTTCTGCTTCATTTATTACGCAGCTGATGCTCTGTGTTGCATTTTTCATTTCATTTATTGTCCTCTTCGGCTCCCGAGTTTCTGTTTGGTTCTTTTTTACAATTTCTACCTCTTTGTTGAACTTCTCATTTTGTTTGTGTATTGTTTCCCTGATTTTGTTAAATTGTCTTCCTGTGTTTTCTTGAAGCTCATTGGATTTCTTTCAAAGAGTTATTTTGAGTTATTTACTGGGTAAATCGCAGATCTCCATGTCTTTGGGCAGTTACTGGAAGGTTATTGTGATCCTTCAATGTTGTCATGCCTCCCATGACTTCTCATATTCCTTGAAGTCTGACATTGCTGGCTTCACGTCTGCAGTAGCCTTCACCTCTGCCAGTCTTTACTAACTGGTG